ATCGTCGTGGGGGCCAGGAGCGAGAATTCCGTCACGTCCTGGGGACTGGGGTCTGCCCGGTATGCCCGGGTGAGGAAGTCGGCCGTGCCCTGACAGCTGAGGCCGACCGGGACGCCTCTCACCTCCCACACAATGGGCTTAGCCTGTTGCTGGTTCTTCACCAGCAGCTCCACTTCCATCGGCTCCATGTTCGGGGTCAATTGCACCCCAGGCACGCGCAATCGCCCGTTAACGATGCGCCTGGTCGCTGTCAACGCTGCTAAACCTCCTTTTGGCACAAGGATGGAGAGTTCCATCACAATGTGCCGTTCCCTTCCCATCGGATAAAGCAACCGTTTTTGAATGCGAGGGCCTCCCCAACGGTTGAACTCCTGGTTGCTGCGGAAGATTTGGCCAATTGTTGCCAGAATTTGAAGTCCTAATGGACCATATATTTGCGCGATGATGTCGCCCGTATCTGAGCCCGCTGGCCACCGGACTGTCACCACGATCGGTTCCAGTTCTAGTGTGGCTCTGTAGAAAGCCAAGCCTTCATTTGTTCCGTAAAAGCCACTGACGGCCTTTATCTTTTTGGTCGGTATGGATTGCGGTCTCGCGGCTGAGGTCGGCTGGCGGCCATTTTGAACATTGCCGCGGCTAACAGCCACTGCTGGTCGCCTCTGCGACATTTTCAGGCTAATTAGATAACCATAACTACGCTCAAACAATTGAGGTCGCTGTCGGTGGCCACGGCCGCGGTTGGCCGACGGTCATAGTAGCAGTCATGTATGTATGTATGTATGTATGTATGTATGTATGTATGTATGTATGTATGTATGTATGTGTTGGTAGCCAGTATGCACCGTCCGTGTGTGTGTGGTGTACATCTTGCTTGTAAGAAGGAACTGAGCCGCGCGAGGTGGAACCCGGCTAGGCTGGCACGGGAGCAACTTTCCACGTGTTTCGCTGTTTCTTGGTTGTCCTTGTTGCGTGTGTAAACGTATAATGTGCGTATGTATGTATCCGTAGGCAGGGGGGGTTACTATTAAGAGTCCTCCTCCAAAACATGCTGTGTCGCAGCCATTTTTCTCAACCGTCCGTCCTCTTCCCGCCCTTCTCTCGCATTTGGCCCCCCCCCGCGCTTCCTCTTCTTTCTTCCGCCTCGTCTTCCTCTTCCTCCTTCGCTTCCGCTTCCTCCCCCCTCCCCCGGTGTGGGGTGGGGTGGTCGTCAGGTGCGTTGCTGTGGCACCTGTGTCGCGGCCGGGACCCCACCCCGGTGCGGCCCAGTGGGGCCCCGCGCAGCATCACCGTGGAGGACTCCTTCAAGAGCTGCGCCTCCTGGAGCGCGGCCACTGCCGTACTCCGGGTGCTGGCACCCGACCTGCTGCAGCGACTTCACGAGGAGTACCTGGACAATAACAGGTGAAGGGGGGGTGGGGGGGCTGAGGAGCACCGGTTAGGAGTGGGAAAACCGGCTGGGGGTAGGGGGCGTGAGGCGAGATATGAAGCGGGAAGGCCTGATGATGATGATGTGTGTGTGTATGTATGTTGTTACCTCTGCCAGCCACCTGCCTAGTGTAAGTATGTATGTGCATATTATGTGTTTGTGTTTACATGAGCTAAGCTAAGCCGGGAAGAAGGAGGAAGTGCTGGGAATGTCACACGTTTGCGCGCGCGCGTATGTGTGTCTGTGTGTACGTGTGTGTATGTGCATGTCTGCGTGGCAAGGAAGCAACATCTCGCAATGGCTGACGTCAGACAGCGTGGCGGGGATTGGCGACTGGCGCCAGAGGTGCCGGTGCCTTGCCACGTGTACACATACGTATAAACATACAGACATACATACAGATACACTCCACCAGGCGGCGCCCCGCGACCCTGACTCTCAAGTGGCGGCTGAGGGGCACCGGCTGGTCTCGGAGCTCTGCGTCATGTGCCATGCCGCTTCAGTCAGGAGCCCTGGCGGCACCGCCCTCGCAGGCGCAGGTGTGACGTCTGCTGCGACATGTGCTGTGACATGTGAGTGACGCGTATACGTGTGGAGACGTGTGTACGGCCGCGGTGCGTGCGTGTTTTCGTGCGTGTGTGTTTTATATACAGATAGTACCTTCGTGATGATGATGGTAGGAGTCCCTCGCAGGCCTGTGTGTCTGTGAACATGTGCCTGCGCGAGCCCTTACCACCCCTCGCCTCGCCTCACCTCACCTCCCAACTCACCTGACCCGGATCCTGACCTGCCCGCCCTATCTCACCGTCATCTTATCTCCTGGCCCCGCCTCACAAACCCCGTAGCCATCTCCCACGTTCCTGGCAACCCCCGTCCCCCTTTCCCCACATAATCGCCCCGGCTTTGGGGTACAGGTGGACCGCTTGGTGCGGTCCGCGCTGCAGCTGCTGCAGAGGCAGATACGGGAGCCATTCAACCTTTCGCTCATCAACCTAGGGGCAACAAACTTCAAACAAGATGGCGGCGGCAGCGGCGGCGGCGGGGTTGGAGGCGGTGGCGGCGGTGGTGGGGGCGGAACTATCCTGGACCTGTTCAACAGGCATAGCGCCCGCCGGTCTGGGGACAGCGGCGGCGGCGGCGGCGGTGGAGACAGTGGCGGCAGAGCCGGACGTACCTTCCATGGCGGCAATGTAGCACGTGTGTACGGCATGGACGGCGTGGACGAGCTCAGGGAAGAGCCGGCGCTGCCGGCGCTGCTCAACGGAGAGGTCAGTGGTTATGGCAGTCCCGACTGCGACGGCGGCTGCGAGCGCCATGAAGCTGGCGGCGAGAAGGGTGACAGGTACGGCGTACGGCTGGATCAGCAGCCAGACCTCCGGGTTGCGGTACGCGGCGGCGGCGGCGGTAGCGGCGGACTGGCGACGGCGGCGGCGGCGGAGGCTCTCTCTCCGGACGAGGCAAGACGGGCGGCTGAGAGGTCTGCGGCGCTCCGTAGAGAGTACCGTGGCTCGGTGCAGGTGAGGTGTGTGAGTCCACTTAAGCTTGGGGGACCGAGTGAAGTCAGGGGGTGAGGGGGGAAGCTACTGCATGAAGAATGCAAAATATCAGCTGGTTGCTGTTTTGAGGGCGGTGAGGGGGGGGAGGTATTCGGGGATTAAGGGGAGGCGTGTGTTGCTATGCTGTTTTTTCGCGAAGGGGAAGTCTAATGTGTTGGGGTTGGTATGTTTGCTTATTTGTCTTTCTGTCTGTTTGTTTGTTTGTGGGGTTTGTTTGTTGGTTGGTTTGTGGGGTTTGTTTTTGGAGCCAAGGCTAAAGTTTGTTCGCAGGTAACGCGGGGCCCGAGTGGGCCCCGGTTGAGGCAGTTAGAGTTCTTGTTAAGGAGGAGCTTTACGCTTCCTTGCCTTCATGTTGCATACATACGTACATACATATATGTACATAGATATACACGCATATTTTCTTGTTCCTGTTTTCTAAAATGGCGGAACATCAATTTCCACAGAGCTTTCCGGCTTACCTACCTACCTACCTACCTACCTACCTAGGCGAACACCCCAACTGTCATTCTAAGCAAGAGCCTGGAGAGGCAGCTGAGGGAGGCAGCCGCCAGGGCCTCCACAAGACCTACCGCGCGTCCGGCAGCGGAATGGCCTGGTGCCACGGCTGCTAGTTCTACTGCTACTGCTACTACTGCTGCTGCTGCTACTGCTGCTGCTACTGCTGCTACTGCTGCTGCTGCCGCTGTCACTGTGGCAAAGACTAATGGTGTTAGAGTAGTTGGCGTCGGAGGCGCGCGCGGTGAGCCCACTGCCTCCGCGGCACCACCCGCCAAACGGCTCCGACTGAATACACCACAACTGCCTCCTTCCTGCGGCGCCGGTGGCCCCACCGCACCCGGCAGCTCAGCAACCCCCCTCGACCATATGGGGCCCTGCGATGGAGGCTTCCCAGGAGGTGAGGCCATGGCCGTCGCCGCTGCCACTGCCACTGCCACTGCCACCACCGCCGCTGCTGCTAACTCCACCGCCGCCAACATCGCCACCGTTCACATGGATGGTAGTAGTGGTGGTGGTGGTGATAAAACAGACTGGATTCGCAACCTTCGTGACATGGACTGGGGCTGGACCCATCCCGCGGATTTGGATCCAGCTGTTGTCACGTACAGAATCGTGGACTTGTATGACGATCAGGATGATGATGTTGTTGGCGATGATGGTGCAAGTGAGGGTAATGTCGCCCTAGTTGCTTCTGAGGACCCGCGCCGCATGGCCGGCGGTGCCGGGGCCGGGGCCGGGGCCGGGGCCGGGGCCGGTGGCGGAAAGGTTGCCAGCCGGGGGCCGGCGGCTGCCGCCGCGTGCTACAGCGCCGACGACTTCGACGACTTCAACGGCAGCAGCAGTAGCGACGGCGGCGGCATGTTCATCTGGCCCGATGACTGGGGTGACTGGCTTGATGACGTGGAGCCTAGCAGGGGGGAGGACTCACAACAGGTCGGGCCAAGAGGACACGGGGCTCAAGAAGTAGGTGGCGTTGGTGTCGCCGGCTGCGGGGGTGTACGGCCGCCAAGGGACCCCTTACAGCAGACGCCGCAGCAGCAGCTGCGGGAGCAGCGCTGTCCGGTGAAGCAATCTCCTCAACAACAACTACCTCCACAACCACCTCAGCAACCACCTCAGCAACCACCGCCTGACACTCAAGTTCGCGTATTTCTGCATGTGGATGTGGACTGCTTCTACTGCCAGGCAGGTGACGCTGCAGCAGGGGTACCTGGGAGGAGGTGAAGGGGGGAAGGGGGGAGGGAGGGGTCGTGAAAGGGGGGTCGTGTAAGGGCTTGATGTGGGACTGGACGGGTTGGGAGCAATGGAAATAGCGTTACCGCCCCCCGCTCATTCGTACTGAGAATGCACGGGGCGCGCACATGTGTTTGTGTGTATGTATGTATGTGTGTGTATGTGTGTCCGTGCCTGTGTGCGTGTCCGTGTGTGTGTTTGTATGTATGTGTGTGTATTTCTGCGTTTATTACATATCGTGCCGGGCCTGACGGGGCTGGCCAGGGGCTGCTGCCCAGCTGCCCCAACGAACAAGACCGCCGAAGCTACTTCCCCCCCTGGGCGTGAGGGGCCACTGTCACCTCCTGCTCGACACAGAGCCTGAACCGCACGGTTGTGCATGTGTGCGCACGCACTTGGGACTCCCGAGTTCGCACCTCCAAGTAGCACAGCAAGCACCGTATGTAGATGTAGATGTAGATGTAGATGTAGATGTAGATGTAGATGTAGATGTAGATGTAGATGTAGATGTAGATGTAGATGTAGATGTAGATGTAGATGTAGATGTAGATGTAGATGTAGATGTAGATGTAGATGTAGATGTAGATGTAGATGTAGATGTAGATGTAGATGTAGATGTAGATGTAGATGTAGATGTTAGATGTAGATGTAGATGTAGATGTAGATGTAGATGTAGATGTAGATGTAGATGTAGATGTAGATGTAGATGTAGATGTAGATGTAGATGTAGATGTAGATGTAGATGTAGATGTAGATGTAGATGTAGATGTAGATGTAGATGTATTATGTCGCCGACACTCGGTGGTTTCTGTGTGTCCTGTTTGTGGCGGCAGGTGGAGCGGCTGGACGACCCCAGTCTTGTGGGTGTGCCGCTGGCGGTGACGCAGTTCAACTCGGGCGGTTTTGTGGCGGTGTCGTACGAGGCCCGAGCGGCGGGCATTCGGTGAGGACGGCAACACCAGCAGCGGCAGCAGCATTGGTCTGGGGGTGTATGGATGGGTGGGTAGGTAGGTAGGTAGGTAGCTAGGTAGGTGGGTAGATATTTAGGTAGGTAGGTAGGTAGGTAGGTAGGTAGGTAGGTAGGTAGGTAGGTAGGTAGGTAGGTAGGTGAGGCACAGCAATATGTATGCGTGAAGGGGTGGGTGGTAAGGGTGGAGGCCACAGCCCTGTTCTGCCTGGGGCGTGCTTTGCTTCAAGCGCGTTGGGCCTTACAGAGCCGCGTCCGTACTGTATGCGTAAAATTAGGTTAACAGGGTTTTTATGCCCAAACATTTTAGGGATAGATGTCACATGCATGTGGGCCTTATCCCGCACAGAGGTGGGGAGGAGGGTAGGGTAGTGCAGGACATATAACCTGCCTCCGCCGCTGTGCCTGACTCCACACGGACTTAGCCTGTTCGCCAGCTCGCGCTTTTCCGGCGTTTCCTCTGTGGCTATGCTCCTCCGCCCTCGGGCTGGTGTCAGTGGTGTGTGTGTGTGTGTCCGTGTGTCTGTATGTACATGCGTAGGTGTGGTGATGCAGTAGGTGCGGGCGGCCGCGCTTCGATCACCTACCTCAAGGTGAGCATCTGACGGACCCCCCTCCCCTTGCCCGCAGAAGTCGCAGACTGGCGGGCCGAAGACCCGCTGCTACACATGCCCTTGTGTCTTATTATGATAGGCATGCCGCCATCCTCCCGCGGGATAAATGTATATATGTATGTATGTATGCATATATGTATGTATGTATATATATACCTTATATCGAGAACGATGAATTCCCCGAAATGATGATGTTGGGCCCCCTACCCATAGTGTTTGTATGTCATAATATATGTCTTCATTATTGGTGAACTGATTACCTGGGATGTGAGTGCGTGTGTGTGTGTGAGTGTGCTTTCTGTCTATTGACATAACCTGGTCGGCTGGTGACGCATGACGCACGTGCCGTTGTGGCCCAATGTACGGCATGCACCAAATCAGGCCATGGGTTCAATGAGTATGGCTGAAGCTCAGCGTCGCTGTCCCGGCCTGGTGGTTCGGCCCATGCGCACGGAGCGGTACCGGCGGGTGGCGGAGCAGGTGCACGGGTTGCTGCGCAGGTGGGAGTGGGTGTTGGTGCGGGGCCGGAGGGGGGCACCAAGCTGGGTGTGTGAGTGGGTGGGTAGCTTGAGACGTGGTGGAGGTGTCTGTGTGTGCCTGTCTGCCCTGTCTGTGTCTGTGTGTCTGTGTCTGTGTCTGTGTGTCTATGTCTGTGTCTGTGTCTGTGTGTGTGTGTGTGTGTGTGTGTGTGTGTGTGTGTGTGTGTGTGTGTGCTCGGGTCAGAGTCGCATAAAGTCGCACTTTGTGCGTAAAGAGCAGAGGGGGGAGCTAGGGGTGGACCAGGGCAGAAGCTAGTGTGTTATACCGTGGTCGGGGCAGTGCCGGCCTGAGACAGACTTCACGTGTCTTTGGCACTGCACCGCACTACAACACCTGCACATGCACGTTCCCGTACATACTTCCATCCGTAATTCCATCCGTACGACGTCCACCGCCGCAGGTTTGCTCCCGACGGTCAGGTGGAGAAGACCAGCTACGACGACTTTTACCTGGACGTCACTGCCGCATGCACCCCACCTCCCGCGGCGGAAGCAGGGTCGGGGTCGGGGTCGGGGTCGGGGTCGGGATCAGGGCACGGGGCAGGGCCGGGTGGCCACGGCGCCGCAGGCCCGCAGTCCCTGACGGGGAGCGGAGCCCTGGGCTCAGGGCTTGGGTTGTGTCCGGATGTGGACCACGTGGAGGTGGGTGGCTTGATGTATGATGATGTGGGTCAGTATTACGACGAATTGGGGGCCGGGGGCAGTGACGGCGACGGAGAGGGGGAGCTGGACTCCGTACCCTGGGCTCTGGAGGTGGGCGCGGCGGGAGAGAGAAGCTCAGATTTGGATTCCTGGACCCTGGCTGTCACGGATGTGGGGGTACAGGAGGCAGGAGGTGGAAGAGGAGGCGGAGGAGAGATGGGCAGTCCCGGCGGTGGCGGCGGTGATAGTAGTAGTAGTGGTGGTGATGGTGGTGGCTGTGGTGGCGGTGGCCGAACGCGGTACATCGAACACCGGACGCCATTTTCAAATGGCAAACAGGAACATCACGATCAGCAGCAGCCGCAGCGGCGAGGTCGGGGGCATGCGGACTCCCCGCCTCATGTGCATGTGGCTGGTGGTGGCCTCTGGGCGGATGTGGAGCCGTGGCTACGTCGGGGGGTGGAGGTGGCGCAGCGGCTGCGAGGGGCACTGAAAGGTTCGTCTGATACGTTCATGATGCCAAGGAAGGGGGCACAAGAGTGGGCTTGGCGAGGGTGTGGGGTTGGGATTGGGGTTGGGGTTGGAGGTGGGGATTGTACAATGGGAGGTGGCGGGGTGGGGTGGGGTAGGGTGGGGGTGAGGGGCTAAAGACGCCGGTACGCAAAGCATAGGTAGGGGGAGGATGGTTGACACTTCGAACTGCTGCGCATGGCAGTGCGGCGAACATAGCCCCCGCGATGCAGATGAGGCGTTGTCCGCTTCATGTTTGTTGCACGTGGCGCGGCACGGTGCGCTGCTCTCTGCTCCTCTGCTCCTCTCCCTCCACTCCGTGCGCGGCCCCTATCACGCCGAGTACCCTACCGGGCCTCCTTCCGCCCTTCCTTCCTACCCGCCGCCCTCAGACGCGCTGTCCCTCACGGTCTCCGTGGGTGTGGCGCCCACCAAGCTCTCCGCACGGCTAGCTGGGCCCACCCACAAGCCGGATGCCATTACGGTGGTTCCCGCGGCCCGGCTGCGGGAGTTCATGGCGGGAGTGAAGATCAAGGTGGGGACGGGGGGGGAAAGGGGAGGGGAAGGACGAACCACGAACGAGTGAAGGTGCTGCCAGGGCAAGAGTGTACCAGACGTAGAACTGGGGGGGGAGAGGGAATGAGCGAGCCAAAAAGGGAGGAGGGGCTGCGTGAGTGCCAGGAAGAAGATAACCCCCAGATTACGACGAAAACCATATTGTACATGTATACGAAAACCATATGTACATGTATACGAAAACCATATGTACATGTATACGAAAACCATATGTACATGTACACATACGTACATACGTACATACATGTATACATAACAGCTGCAAGGAACCGGTGAGGGCCTAGCGAATGGCGGAGGCACAGCTTTTGAAGGCAGGATTCCACAGGGAATAAAAGCTTGCAAGCCGGGCTGGGCTGGGCTGGGCTTGTTGACTGCTGTGCCGGTCATCGAATGTGTTTTGCCTGGTTGTGAGGTTGGCTGGGCCTGGTGTGCTCTGCTTGGGGGGGCTCAGGGCAGGGGAAAGGCAGGGCCCCGCCCCACAGAACATGGATCAACCTTGGCTTTCATCCCTCTCAGTCATTGTCCTTAACACACACCTCCAGTGAGAGGTCCCCCGCCTCAACCCGGGCCCCCAATCCCCAGTCCGTGCCGACGCTCGCGCGCAAGACCGGCAGTCACGTGGTTTCGGAGCTGGGTGGTGTGGAGCGCGTGGGACAGCTGGCCGCCTGGCCGCGTCGTGCGCTGGTCGCCCGCTTTGGATCGCGGCTGGGCAACCTCCTGGCGGACCTGCCGTATGGTGGCGCCACCGCCGCCACCGTCACTGCCACCGCCACGGCCGCCGGCGGCAGCGGCGGCGGGGGTGCGTGTGGCGGCAGTGTTCGCGAGCGGGGTCCTCAGAAGAGTCTGCTGGTGGAGCGCAGCTTCCCCGCCATCACGCGGTTCGCGGGTGTGAAGGAGGCCCTGATGCCCCTGGTGGGGGCGCTGTGGGAACGGATGGTGGAGGATGCGGTGGCGAACAGGTAAGAGGATGGAGGGCTGGTGGCAGGCTGGGTGGGAGGGGAGGTAAGCGGAGCGGAGCGCTGGAAGGAAGAGCGGAGGGAGCTTTGGGGTTGAGGCTGCAGGGGTGGTATGCACATGTATCCACTGGATTTTAGCATGCGTTTTATCAATCGGAATGATCTGATTGTTAATATATGGGGTTGGGTGGCTCGTTCGGCAGAGGGTAAGCTGTATGCGAGAGCTGGTTTGGCGATAGATTGGCGAGAGTGCGGGTCTGAGGAGTCTGAAACCTGAAGGGCCGGAAGAACAAAAAAAACTGGATTAGAGCTATAGTGCAATATAGTGTGGCCCGCTCAAAGCTTATTTCATACTTGGACATTGTGGATATGTTTGGCGATAGATTGGCGAGAGTGCGGGTCTGAGGAGTCTGAAACCTGAAGGGCCGGAAGAACAAAAAAAACTGGATTAGAGCTATAGTGCAATATAGTGTGGCCCGCTCAAAGCTTATTTCATACTTGGACATTGTGGATATCATACTGCCAACCCCCCTCTTCAGTAACTGTAACTGACTAACTCTGTTACAGTTGCTGTGTGGGGGCAGAGCATAGCACGCTGGAGGTATGTGCGGCAGGTAGGTAGGTGGACGGGTGGTCCAGTCAGCAACACGAGGTCGCTACTGGCGCCCTCTTATGATGCCTCTCATGCCTCACCACCATCGCCACCATCACCACCACCCTGCAATGTAATTATGCCACTGGGCCACTGGGCCGCTTCCCCCACTGGACGTCCCACCGGCTCCTGCCCGCAGACGTGCCCCTAACAAACTGCTGCTGACGTGGCGTCAAGGTTACGGAGCGCCCAAGACCAAGTCAGCTGACGTGTCCGTGCAGATGCTCCAGGTGGGTGAGGAAGCTGGTCGTAAGCTGGGATGGGGTGGGGTGTTGGGTGGGGTGTTGGGTGGGGTGTTGGGTGGGGTGTTGGGTGGGGTGTTGGGTGGGGTGTTGGGTGGGGTGTTGGGTGGGGTGTTGGGTGGGGTGTTGGGTGGGGTGTTGGGTGGGGTGTTGGGTGGGGTGCTTGGTGGCCCTGGAGCCAGGAGCCGTGCGTGAGCGCTGTGTGGCGGACCGCAGATCTGCGAGGAAGGTCCCCCCGTGGCCAATCCCAACTACTCCCTCTCACATCAATTGTCATTCTCCGCCGTGTATGCAACCCATGTCCCGCCCAAGGCACTGAAAGCAGCTGCGGCCTCAGCGGCACTAGGCACCAGTCCTAGCACCAGTCCTAGTACCAGCGTTCTACCCGCTGTTGGCGGAGGACACGCGGATGCTGCCGACCCTGTACCTGCACCTGCACCTGCACCTGCGCCTGCCTCCGTCTCGAGCTGCGGCGGTTCGGGGCCGGTGTCAAGCTGCAGCGCCTTGTCTTCGGGTCGCTGGATGGAGCCTGGTGCTGTGTCCAGCAGTACCTACCAGGGCTGTCGGGCGCTGCTGGAGGGAGCCGCCGCCATTTTCAAGCTAGGACTGGGCAACGTGCGCAATGCCATGCAGGCGCGTGGGATTTTTAAGCATGTGGAGGGCTGGGGCCGCGGCATGGTGGGGATGAGGAGGGGGAGGCAGAACGTGTACAGGAAGGGGTTGGGGGTGGGTGGGTGGGTGGGGGCCGGGATTTGATCTTTGACCCACCCCGGGTACGGCGGGCTGGGTTTCGGTGCTGCGGGCGTATGTGTGTGTGTGTGTGCCGTGTGGGCTGCGGGCGTGTGGGCTGTCATCGTTCAGCAAACCAACTGCCTCAAGGTCCGCCACGCTTGCAGCACTCGCCACCACCTTGCGGCCTTCCGCCGCGGCGCTGGGAGCCCAACCTTACAGCTCGCACCGGGGTCCCCACGACGATATCCTGCCGGGTCATTCGGTGTCCCACGCACCTTGTCATGGGGGGCGTGTCTTTGGGGCGTCGTCCTTTAATTCCCCTTAACCGTCCTCTTCCTCTTTCTCTTCCCCTTCCTGGGCCGCACTGCACCTGGGCCGCCGGAAACCGTCCGGGCAGATAACTCGTCTGGCAGTGGCGGTCAATTACGGCGCGTCCGGCGGTGCAGCGGACTCCGTTTTAGCTGGTCAGCGCCCCATCAGCGCCTTCACAAAGCAACAGCCCCCGCCGCCGTCGTCACCGGAACCTGCACCGTCACCGGCATCACCGCCGCCACCGCAGCGACCGCAGCTTCAATAGCACATGGCCCAACGGGGCATGGCTGCTGCTGTTGCTGCTGCTGTTGCTGCAGCTGTGCCCAGAGACCACTGCCGGCAGCACGGATCACATGGTGCTGCCGCTGCAACAGCCACTCCTGGAGCAGTGGGGACAGTACGGCCGACAGCGGTAATGACAGCAACGGGACGGGCAGCGGTTCTTCAAAATTCCGAAGCTGATATATCTGGATGGAGAGCCGGGAGGAGGGAAGACGTCGTCAGCCCAGCGGCCGCGAGCTGACGGACCTGAGCTCGGTTGAGATTCAGATGACAGGGGACTGAGACCGCCGGGCAGAGGGACAGCAGCAGCGACAAGGTTGGGTGCCAGGGGTGGGGAGGAGGGGAACCGCTGGAGGATTCTGCTGGCGTAAGTAATTTCGTTTCGCCTCTACCTTGCACGTGTATGTACAGTACAGTGGTCGTAGAAAGGTAAGGAAAGTATTTATAGTTCGGTTGCGTGGTGGTGACGGTGGCCGCAGGGTTGTTGTTAACGGGGGGTGTTACACAGCGAGGTGGCTCGCCCTGAGAAAGGATGACGAGCACCGTGGAGGGGCCTGACCGGGACGAAAACCACAGCGCAGGGGCGGGCGCGGCGCTCCGTCCGTCCGTCTGTTCCTCCGCGTGCGCCTCCCTCCCCCTCAACTCATGCCACAGCCTCTGGGCGCTCTCCCAGCCCCTGGCTAGGCAACACAGCGCCACAGAAGACTGCAAATCGTTGTTGTTGTTGTAGTAGTTACATTTGTTATTGTTGGTGTGTGAACTGCCCAGTTACCCTAGCTAGTTCCTCATAAAACTATAACAATCGGTAACATAACCGAAATACTTCGTTTATGTTATTTTGGTTACGTTTTCTCGGTTAGTTATGTTATTCCGGTAACAACTGAACTGTTTCTCAGTGATGGGGTATTACACTGTGGGCGGCTCGTCCCGAGAAAGGAAGAGCACCGGGGGCCCTGACCGGGGGCCGAAACACAGCTCTACGTCCGTCTGTTCCTCCGCGCGCGCGCCTTACTCCCTCACTTACGCCAGCCGGGGCGCTCTCCCAGCCCCTGGCTAGGCAACACAGCGGCGCAGAAGACTGCGAACCGAACTAAGCGAGAGCCGCGTGAGAGCCGCGCCACACCACCTCCGGGAACTCTAAACAGGCTATCTGCGCTCATTTCGCCTGGCCAGCCTCCTAATCGCGCTCTCTCTTCCCTCTTGAACGCCAAAACACGGACAAACAGAAAACGCCACCGGGGGCAGAGGGGCCTCTACGCAGGTTGCTCCACAAAAGAACCGTGGCAAGGGGAGACCTACCCACGCCAGACACGGCCCCTCAGAAGACTCTCCTAGGCAAGGACACCCACGCAGCCAGCACAAGGCTGATGTAAGCGACTGCTCTTAAGTAAAGGCATGGCGTCAATCCCAACGACCACCTGAAGATACGTCGTCGGTCCGTCAACAACCACACAAGAAGGTAATTGAGTGACGTGTACGCCTCAGATGCTCTCTGCAGCTTTATTAACTCTCTCCTTACATAATGACTTCCACAACCATCAGCATCGATCGGGCCCCCAACCATATCACCAACTTCTGAAGCAAAAACCACCGGTCTCCCCTAGGCTCCTTATCATCCTCGTGTTTTCCCCGGGATGCATCCGCCGATGGGGATTCGTCTCGTGCGTTTTCTAAGCTGTACTGGCCCCGGATGTCTTTTCCTTCCGAACTTGCCCCTGTCCTCTTCCCTTTGCTTCCTCCCTAGCGTACCGCGGGACCATCAATAAGCTTGGCCCCCGCTGCCGGCCGCAGTTGCGGCGGTCTCATCTCCCGCCTTCCCTGGACCTGACCGCAGCAGCATCTGCCGCTGCCGACGACTTCTTTCCAGAAAGGATTGAAACTTCCGTCGCGTGTGCCAGTCGGTAATTACGGAGAGCAGCAGCTGGGCAGCCGCGGTGCAGGCCGCGAAGACTATTGCCGGGGGCCAGTGGCCGCCGCAGCTGCGGTGCATGGTGAGCAGCATGGGCGGCACGGCGGCCAGCACCGACCAGATGGCCAGGTAGGGCGACAGCTGCAGCACACCATAACGGGGTGCAATACAATAATTCTTATTTTTCAAGAGAAGAATGGTTAGATAATAATTTACCAAGTTTAGTAGAAAAAGTAATAGCTGAGGAATTAAAAAAATTGTCTAATAGAACATTTATAAGTTCCTCGTGTTTTGATATCGAAAGGCAACGATACTAAAACAAGCTGAGAATCGGGGGGTGTGTGATCAGTGGTGGGGGTACAGTACAGTGGACGGTGATGAGCTGAAGGGGTAAGAAGAGAGCCAGTGGGGTGAAAACAAAGTCGGAAGAAATGGTCTCGAATGAATGCCTAATCGCGACAAAGAAAAAAGCCGCTTACTTGGGGTTTACTCGGTAGAGTGGGTCTGCAGAGCGTGTGCATGTACTTCTTTTCGTCATATGCTGATATCTAATTGGGCCTGATTCCATAAGTCGACAGCAGCTGAACTTTATATTGGAGAGCCCATATCGGAGAGCTTGACCCAGGAAGCACTCTCACAAACGTGATGAGGATGATGCGGATGATGAGGATGATGAGGAGCCACACGCATCATACACCTTAATTAACAAATGGTACACTCTTAGTGAACGCGCGATGATGCCGTCGAGTTCTCCCAGGCACACATACATACATACATACATACATACATACATACATACATACATACATACATACATACATACATACATACATACATACATACATACATACATACATACATACATACATACATACATACATACATACATACATACATACATACATACATACATACATACATACATACATACATACATACATAGGCAGGCGGCTGGCAGAGGTTAAGGCCTGACTTCTGCTCCCAGTCGACCCAGTCGACCCGGGTTCAAATCCGCCTGCCGGCTCCTCGGGTGTTTGAGGAGTGATGAAATGGGAGGTGGCCCCCCATCTTATGGACGGTGTAGGACGTGATAATATCAACTTGCGAGCTGACCAGGAACTAAGTTGATGCGCCGTTGATCCGCTAGATTTGGTTGGATGCTGGTGGTGAGTTGCCGAACCCAACGAATACATTCTGAAGTCGGATGGGGTGACGGATTAGGGTGCCCCTCTAGCAGGGGAGAGCAGGGACTGCCCCGGGAAAGGGGGCCGCTGGCGAAGTTAACCACCCTGTAACAACATACATACATACATGCACCTTGCACATATGCACACATGCACACATGCACACATGCGTGCACCGTTATTACCTGCAAGGAGAGCGGCTCCCAGACGCCGCGCAGCGACCAGAGGACGCCGTACCTACGGCCCGCCTCCATCCACGACTCCGGCACGGGTAGCAGCGTGTCGCCCCAGGGGCCCGGCAGGAAGATGAGGGTCAGGGCGCCGTAGTCCAGGAAGGCCCGCAGCAGCAGCAGCCGATTGCGGTGCCTGAAAGCGGGTTGGTTGAGTGGTTGGTTGGAGGTGGGGCGGTTGGTGGTTGGCTGAGCTGGTGCCTTTGCGAATCGGAGGCCGCGCGACCAATCCACACCGTTAAGCAGCCGCCTCATCTAACAACTGTACAAACCGGTGCATGCCTACCTGGCATGTACGGAAGTGAACAGGGCCAGAACCAGGGGTATCAGGCAGGGCACCAGGTGGATCCCATGGGACACCAACTTCAGCTCCAGGCCATCCCTCAGCCGCAGTACCGAAGTCGCCGAGCTCGGTGATGGGGGGGAAGGGATCCCCGGGGGGAACCCCCGGGGAGACCAACATTGTTGAGTCGCAGCAGCAACACCCTCAATGTGGGTGTGCGTCGAGTGTGCGGCCCCCAGCACTTGACCGTACTTGCTACGGTACGTACGGATGGCGGTTAAGAGATGCAACGGCATTAACACTGCCAGCAGCAGCCCCATCCTGTCCAGGTGACCACACCGCGCCGCCTTGAACTCCTGGTAGGCCAGCTCGCGAGCCGGGGGGGAGAAACCCACCAGCAGGGGAAGGGGTGGAGGTGGAGGTGGAGGTGGAGGACGTGATGACGGAGATGATGGTGATGGAGAAGGTGATGGAGACCACCAGTGCATGCACGACGACGTGAGTAGGCGGGAGCGGGGCAGGGCATGCGGCCACTGCCAGGGGGCCCTCTTGCCAGCGTTACTGCTGCTTCTGCTGCCTGGAGGCGACTTCGAGTGTGAGGTCGTAGGTTCCGACGATGCAAGTGGATCAGCCGAGGGCACGCCGCCGCTGGTTGTCCTAGCAACACGGCTGGGATCCCTGTCATCACCGCCACAACCACTGCCGCGGCCGCAGCCGCCAGTCAGGGCCGCGTCCTCAAACGGGGCGACTGTGTTAGGGTCAGTGATCGCCTCGGTAGTCTCACACGCCCACGAGGACGAAGGTAATGGCGTTGCGGGCTGGTCACCAACGCCTTGCTGCTGCTGCTGCTGCTGCTGCTGCTGCTGCGATGACACCGATGTTGCCGCAGGCTCTGTCACCTCCGGGCCCACGTCTCCGCCCCCACGCTGATCCGACCCCTCCAGGCTGGGGGGTCCCTCTACCCGCAACCCCATGGCCAACATCGCATGATGGACCTCCCGTAGGCACGCCGCCATTCTCCAGCTACGCAGGAAATCCAGGAGGGAATTTACGACCCGTGGGTCGGCAGCTAGGGTTGGGGGCTCCGGCAGCGCGCCAGTGGCGCTGTAAAACTCAGCCAGCAAGCACCCAATATCGTAAGCGAATCCGATCAAGCCGCTGCGGTGCTGTGCCTTTGCAGCAACTGCGGCGGCGATAAACCTGTCTTCATCAAAGCCGGTAATGGCGATTCTGGTTGTCGAGGCGGTACTGCCTCGCCCCATGTCGGGGGCACCAGCTCGACTTTCAAACAGCAGCCGATCCAATGCCATGACAGTAGCCGCGCCGCCGTCGAACACGCTTCCGTACAGTTGTCGTACCTCCGCCGCGGCGTCGGACGGCAGCACCAGCAGGGGTAACATGGCTAGGGGAGCATCCACCACGTCAGCAGATGGGGTACCTGCAGATGCGGCCGTCTCAGTGTCTGTAGCATAAGCAGCGGCGCCTGTCGTACCCTGCTGCGCCCCGCCGCCAAAGGGCCAGTTTGTTGACCTCGGTCGCAGCAGGTGCAGCAGCAGAGCCCCGGGGGTATAGCGCGCTACGGGCGGCAGTGAAACCCTGCGAGACGGGAAGATCCTTGTCAACCATCCACTCGACTGATTGAAACATCGCCCGCATCAACATAACTTCACCATTCAGTGCTAAGCGTCGTGCGAGGCAAACCCGGCCTGCTGTAATCCCCGGGAAGGAAACGTGGGGGCCGCGGCCGGTCCCAATCCATATGTCGATGCAGGTCGTCACCCTAGGGTGCCCCTGACCTCCGGGACACTGGTGTAGCTGCTAGCCCCTCGCTCACCGGACGGCCAGGTACTCCGACGCTCCTTGGCCGTCATCGACCTCGCTATCGCTATCGTCGTCGTCAACAGAGCCATCACTACCGCTACCAGGATGAGCCCTTCCTTCCCCTCCTCCTCCCCCTCCGCTCAGCCGTCGCCGCCGCCAGCCTGCCGCTCCCAGCTGCTCTACCGACAGCTCCGCATCCAGGAGCACCTGCTGCCGCCGGCCGCAACGACCCATGGGTCCGGATACAACACAGCGTACGGATGTACGACCGCGAAGAGCTCGGGCTGGCAGCAGAATGACCACCACTGCTAGCGCAGAAGCTCCCTCAGTATTACCTGGTAGATACGTACTAATGTCGTACTCGTCCGTTGTGCCAATGGCAGCAGGGGGAACGTCAGCGTCGTGCCGCCTGCCGGGCTCCCAGTGGCTCAACACGGGGGGCCACAGCAGGGCCGGCGCGGCCTGAGGGTCGGCGACATCTCGAACATCCCCTTCTGCTGCTGCCCGGGCTGCCCGGGCTGACGTGCCTGGTTCGCGTCTTCCTGCCTCGTGGCCCCCGAACACTCCCGTCAGGACGTCCCGCAGTGCGACGTCAACACCGGAGGTTTCCAAGCTGTCCGCCGGCGGCTGGCCATGCTGCGATTGCCTGGCAGACTGCAACCTGATGGCGTGGCTGCTAGATGGCTCCGCTTCAGTTTCGTTCCGGTCGTTGCGGGGCCCCACAACTTGCATCACCATCAGCAGCTGCACACAGCCCTCCACACACACTAGGGACAACAGCCGCATCGTCTGGCGGGACGCAGCCGCATCTGAGCGGTCGAACGTTGTGCTGCTGGCCGTGACTTGCACAGGCCGGCGGCCCCCGGCCGCTTCCCCTCCTCCTCCCCATTCCTGCTGCTCCCCTTCCTCGTCCGTGTTGACGCCGCCAGCAGCTCGTGCGGAATTTATTGCGGCGGTTGCTGTGGCTATTAGCTGGGCGGCGGCGGTGGCAAAATCTCGGCCAGGCGGCAACGGTACCTTGATGCTGACCACGTGTGTACGGCCGTTGCCGTACGCGGACTGGTACAGGATCCCCTCGCTGCCGCCATGGACAGCGGTCAGGAGGGGTGCCGCCGGGTCTGCACCTGCCTCCGACGGCGCCGCTAATCCCGTCAGTGCTGTGAGACCCGCCGGCGCCGTTGACGCCGATAGCGCCGCTGGCTCCCGTTGGAGCGCCAGTCCCAAAGGCACCTCGTTGGTGGCGTTAAACGCTGGGTCGTCCTGTCGGCCGTCGGAAGCCGTCGTCGTCGCCGTCGTCGTCGCCGTCTTGGCTTGCGGTTGCCAGCCCACGGCCGCACCACCCTTCCCATCCGCTGGAGTCAACGTTTCAAGCGTTGCAGTACCGTCGCACTCCGCGCCTGCCATGTATCGTACATCTTTGTTCTTCTCTTCATTGCTGTTGCCGTGGCTTGCCGTACAACCGCCGGGAAGCCGTTCGCATGACCCGCTTCCACTTTCACTGCATCGTCCTCCGCCACCACCGGCGCCATTGTCCACCCCGCGGCTCCGCAAGTAGACGCTGTATTGCGGCAGCAACCATATGCGCTCGTAAAATCGTACCACCAAGTACGGCAGTACGGCAAGGCCAAAGAAGACCAGGGCCGCCTGTCCTGCCCCCAGCTGCGACACTTCCGCGACACCTGCTGCGTCTCCCGCCGCCGAAGGCGCCAGTAGCCTTCCATCCACTGCGAGTGTAGTGCTGAGAAAGAGCAGCCCCAGAAGCGGGCCGAACAGCAGCTGCTGTGAAGAGGGCAGCTGTGGAAGAAAAATCCCCCGGGGCCGGGACGGAGGATGTTGCCCGGATGAAATATGACAGATGGTCGTGACGACTGCGCTTCATCCGATGGTACAGACTAGACCGGATCAGGCGATAAGTGCCCCAGTGCTTCAGTAGCAGAAAACCAATGAAAAGGGCTAATGTTAACTCAACGGCAACTGGGCCGTATGGCAGTTCTTCAGGAGACCTGCCACCCCACGCACGAGCACGCGAACGGACGGGAGCAGAGCACCCTAAGCCCCTGATCGGAAGGACAGGGCTGCGTCCCTTAGATATCGTGCCCAAGGTCTGTTGTGACAGAAAAGCTCAGCCTCTCGGCACATCTGTATTTGTCGGTAACAGCACCGCCTTCCTAGGTCCAATAAGCCGGTGAGGATATGAAGAGCTTGGCGAGGAGGACCTGCTTGCCGAATGCCGTGCCATGAATCCACTTCAGGCGGAATGAATCGTATCGTGGCCTTGCACACTGAAAGCACCAGCACCCAACCCAGCTTATTGTGCCCCCTCACACCTCTCGGCTCTTCCCCACCTGGAGCACGATGCCAGTCTTCCAGCCGAAATAAATTGCTGCAGTTCGCCGCCGCACGCTGCTGGTTTCCGTCATCGCCAAGAGCAGCTTTTCCGGAGCGGACGCAGCCGCCACATGAACGCCCAGCAGCACCGAAACAGTGATGGCAACGAAAAGGAAGTGGCGTAACCTGAAGTAAACTGAAGGCGCTGCAACGGCTATTCCCAGCGCAAGCAGCTGCGTCAACACGTGGGCACAGCTGGCGTAGTCGCAAAGCCGCCAACGCAGTTGGACATCTAGTATAGCCCCGGTTCGCAGTACGTAGAGCAGCTTGGCGAGGTAGCTGTCTCCGCAGGGATAGCCCGACAGGACCGCATCCACACGGCGAGCTGCGGGGTTCAGCGGCGGCTGCAGATCTGGAAGCCCCGCTGGGACGCCACCGCCAGCTGGTGCGCACATCACGAACGATATGACCTTTGTTATGTACGGGGCGCTGGTGGCTAGAAGCTCTACGGAAAGAAATAGGAGATCTGCTCGGTAGGCCCGACGTGCTAGCCAGTAAGAAAAGGATGCCGGCCGCCGCCGCACCGCCGCGGAGGCGCTACCCGCTGTTTGGCCTCTTTGGAACGCGGCCGCTGCACGTTGGCTAGCGGCTGAGTTTGAACGTGTGATCATCGCTGACCTTAGTAGGCTGATTTCAGCCTTATTTAGCGGAGCATAAAAATCCAGACCAGCCTACATCGCTCGCTTTGTTTAGTCAGGGTTAGGAAGGATTGTCGAATTGCGTGCACAATTTTCAAAATGTCCGGGTCAGCTGGCGGCAGGCGGGGTCGTCATTGTCGCGCCGTCAAGCGAGATCGGCCAGATCGGCTCGCACGTACAGTCGGCGACGCCTCCCTCTCACCCGTCCTTGGACGCCCCATAGTGACGACAGCTAGAGGTGCCGTCGTCTTACTCCAAAACATGGAACTAAATATTTGCAAAGCTCTGCACACTTATTGTTAGTCTCGAAAACGACTCTCGACACAAGACGACCAGAGACCCGTCGCTTATCCTAGTTTCCAACCGCCTTTCCTATACCTACGAATGAAGAGGGACCTTACGAATGAAGAATCAGCAAAAAGATGTGGTTCGTTACTGACAGGTTTAGAGCTGCGATTGGCAGTAATCAGGGCAGCGCCCCGGGGGATCCTTGTCAGCAACAAATAAAGAACAAAATCGCGAAAACTGGTGTGACGAAGTCAGACAACGCCCCCCGTTACCCTAAGCCCTACCTAACTCTTAACACGCGGAGACGCAAAAAGCTAGAAAGAATCTCGCTAGGTTGCCGAAAACGTAACCCCTGGTATTTGACTCAAGACTGCTCTAAAATCTTCGGTAACTCCCGCTTTCGGAACACCGACCGATTCATGGGTCAGATTAGGCAACAAGTTCGGCAGCTATAGCAGCCTCCGGAAACGTGCAGCGTCCGCACCTGCGCTTGCAACGGGAATTGCGCGCGAAATCGCCATTGCGGCTAGGGCTTAAGGACAGGGACTGCCCAGTTGTTTCGCTCTGAGAACTCTTCGGGGACGTCTGGGCTAGCCGTAAAGTACGGGAGGTGCACTGAACGGCATTGCGGGTACGGCATTCTTCTGTCAGGTTGCAGGCTTGCAGCGGTACTCTAAGGAGCCTCCTGCCCGCTGGTTTATTGGAACCACTATCCATCACCGTAATACGGCACCGGGTGTTTGTCAACACCTCTTTTGGCATATGTGGTTTGTCGTACAACAAACCCTGTATAGTCGGTCGGTCATCAGAATTGTTTATCCGGTGCCGTGTCTGGTAGGTATCCCCAATCCGCACAGCAGATGCATGACGCCGGTGGCGAGGGGGCCACCGAGTGGTGCTCGGATTCCAAGGCGTCCAGGGTTGGAGTTCGGGGTTATTAAGAGTTAGCGGATCCGGAGGTGAGAAGCTATATGGCGCCATGCTGGTGGTGTTGAACGCCGCCACGACAGTGGCAGCGCCGAAAGGCAGCGGCTGGGGTGGCAGGTGTGGCGACAGCAGAAAGCGGAGCAACCCGTGGGGCACGGCCCAGGGGGGGCACGGCCCAGGGGGGGCACGGCCCACGTGGGGGTTGCGACCAACACGGCCCACACAAGGAACCACCCCTCTGTGGTTGCAGGGATAATCGCACACAGGACAAGATGGGCGGCGAACGGCACTAATACGGCGGTTGTGGGTATGCTCGTTCTGGAAGTGCATGCGTTACCGCCTGCTCGATGCCATTAAACACTTACAGCGCCACAAAAATGACCTCCCGTACCGTGGTGGTGGTGGTGGTGGTGGTGGTAAAGGCAGTTGCATCTGCAGCCGCCAGGTCGCCTTTGTCAGCCTCACCATCAGTGCAGCCGTACGTACGGGGCAGGCTCATAAGGACCTCTCCTGCTTTTTCGTGTGCTTGGTGGGTGTTCATTTACGCGCCAGTGCAGTATGTTGTGTTGATTGGTGTTGTGCGTAGTTTGATGTGTATGATAGCGGTGTACGACATGCCATCAATCTTACCTGTGGTGAACGTATCAGTACATGTTTGTGCACTACCTTTTGACCTCGGTTCAGGGCTAAAGCCTCTTGAAGCGAAACTCTTCGGTCCCAAGCCTTGTGGAAGGAGGTAGAACCCTCATTCACGAGGTCTGCTGCTGCGCTTTAGTCAGTGTGAAGGTGTAAAACATTAGCCTGATCCTGTTCACGTTTCTGGGTTCTATGCATGCACGAAGCGCACAACGCGATGCCACCCGCCTTTACGAAGGTAAAGGTTACCGCTGATGCTGCGGCTGGGCTTGAAAATCCAAACACGGACATCTACTCCTCAGTCACTGCTGCGGCGATGGCGGCCACATACAATCTCGCTCTAACCCACGAATCCATTGTACGAGCAGGCACATCTTCGTAAGTAGGCAAAAGCGTGCACTAAAGCAAACTTCCGTACTACGGCAGTCGGGCGAAATCGTCGTACTTTACCGAAATAAAGCAACATCCATGTACAGATAAACTGAAGCTGTGAGAAACCACCGATATGCCTGGAGAGGGAGGGGGCCAGGGTGGAGATGGCGCCGATGGCGGCAGCTTTGTGGTACTGATGTACAGGCAATGATACAATAAATTGCACCAATCACTAATCTTAAATCTTCCATCAAGATCCAGATAGGATTCAAACCCTCGAATGCCGCCACGTGGCAGGTAGGGAGCATATGCGTAATCCAATTATGTTTCAGTGTGAAGACTCCTTCCTCACATTGCATGATGGCCTAGTTAAAACAACTTTTTGCGCTTCGCCGCGTATTTGGCGCTTCCCTCCCTCGCACTGCACCACGGGCCCCGCGACCGCTGGTGAGCTTATGCGTGCTGCCATGAAAAAGGGACTCTGAGGTAGACTTAAAGTCGAGGACGCCCTATACTGCTAGGGGGGATGAATGTAGCATCGCGGAGTATCCGCTGATCGGTACTTTTCTGAAGTCGATATAACAGCCTGTACGCCTGATGTGTGAAACAGGGGGGTACATCTTCGCCCGTGGCAGTTACCCTGCGATACCCTCCTGCCTTCCCCGGTATTTCGGGGCACCCTCATCCAGGCACCCTAGTCAATTCTCAGAGGATCGCTCAGGTTCCGCACCCACCACCAGCGTTCAACGAAATCTGCCGGGCCGCCAGCGGCCCAACTCCGTTCATGGTCGACTCGCAGGTATACTTTATCCTATGTCATCTCCGTCCATCTACGAGGGGCGCAATGCCTTCCGCCATGGGTATGATTCAGGCCTTATTGGGTTTCGATCCCGGGATGTCCCGGGGGCAATGGTCGCGCCTTACCAGTAGTGCCAAACCCTATGTGCCTGATGTGTGCAAACCACGCAGTTAGAACCCAGGTCAGAACTCAAATGCCCGAAACGATTTTTATATTAACATGTAGATCTTCTCATTTTAAGGACACGTGCATTTTTGTTTCATCCGTTTTGGAGTTGGATATCCTAGGCTTCCATGGGTTTGACAGGATGCCTGTAAGCCTGATGTGTGGGAGCCATGCACTTAAAACTCAAGGGTAACCAGGTCAGTACTACCGTCCTTTCCATAACCGTCCGCTAGGCGTCCGCTCGGACAGTCAGGATGTACGGCGTTGCGGATGGGAACGTCCGCGGGGAGGGTATATGTGGTTTTATCATTACATCGAGAAATTAACAAGGTAAGGCAGGCAGGTTTCCGGATCGACTGGCGAGCATGAAGTAGCATTCCATTGTGAGAAAATTGCACAGCGTACCCATTGGTTTTGCTGCTGAGGGTCATGGCGGTTGGAACGACTAACCGCTGTAGGACCTTGGCAGCATCAGAACCTGCTTCCTACAAATTTATCCGTTATCTAAGTGCTGTTATGTTACGCTTTTAATGTTGCGTCATGTCTAACAGCAAGGCGAAGGGAGCTATCGCGGCAAGTGCACTCTGCCCGCATCATTGTTCATACAAGTTTGCATACCGCATACCAACCAGCAGTAACATCGTCCAGGTCGGAGCTGTTTGCCTATTCGTGGGTGCAGTGCTCTACCCTGTCGCGTTTGCTCCGCTCCAGAGCAGAGAAGTGAAGGAATATCGCGAAGCTGAGCCTGGCTTCAAGAAGCAAGGTGGTCATAGTATAGCGCGTAAAATTATCTTGGGAACACCAAAGGCCTTATGGTTGCGGGCAGTCACCCGAAGTACTTGTAACCATTTCCATGGCCCTGATGCAGGCATGTGGAAGGCAATCGAGGAGTACCGAAGATAAAGGATATTAACTTTTCCGCCGACTCTTCGCTTTGCCTCATTGTTGATCGTGTCCACGCCGTCCATGTCCCGCGGCGCCGTGACTGGACTGCGGGGCTTCGCTCGCCTGACCACCAACCAATGGGGCACCTCCTCCGCCGCCGCCTCCTCCGATAAGCAACTCTTCCCCCGTCAGGCTGCTGCTGCTGCTGCTGCTGCTGCTGAAGCCTCATGGACACACCACGGCCCGGGACTGCGGCTGCTGCAGCTGACCCAACAGCAAGGACGGAGCATGGGGACAGGTACATGCACTCCTTCTCCTTACACCTCCTCCTCTTTCTCGTCCTCCTCTTTTCCTTAGAAGCAGCTGGCTGTTCTGCAGTGGTGCGCATCCATCCTCCCGGCCGCTGCTGCTCCCTTTCCTCCGCTGCCCATCCCTTAGTCCGGACCTTCATCCTGGTCATGGGCTGCTGATTTCCTTTCTTTTCCCGCCCGTCCCACCGCTGTGGCTCACACCGACCTCTGTTGGGCGGCTGTGCAGGTGGCGTGGTCGACATGCCGGACAAGACGCTGGGGAAGGCACGTAAGCTGGCGTTGGCAGTGGGCGCACTCGCGGGCGCGTTCGGCAGCCTGGTTGGCGTGGGGGGCGGCGTGCTCATCTCGCCCATAATCGCCAATATTTGCAAGTAAGGCCCTGCAGCCTCTGTCTATATGCCGGAGCAACCATGATGATACAAGTGACAGGTGTATGGTACGGGTCGATGGTAGAAGTCCCGCGTTCTCGGTTTCATCGGGGCAGAACAGAGTTTGACTTTCGAATGTTGGGAAAACACGTGGGCCTTGGGGAAAGGAGAAAGGGGAGAAACGGAAAGGTGCGGCTATGAGGCTGCTAATAAGGTTCTTTGGGGGCTTTTGCAAATCTCGTCCCTTTCCTCCTTCCCTCGTTTCCGCCAATGACAGACAGCTCACATCCACGCCCCATTAGCTCGTTGTAGTGTTGGTGTGTCGTCCTCCTCTTCAACCCACCTGACGCAACCTGAGGGGTGCCATGCGCGGGAGCCGAAATGCGCATGACATGTGTCGTCCCACCGCAGAACTATTCCGCAACGAGTCATCTCTGGCACATCCCTCGCTGCCGTCGCCGCCACCGGCAGCGCCGCCGGCTTCGTCTACTGGTCCAGCGGCGCCGTCGACCTGACGTCGGCGGCGCTCATATCTGCCTCCGCCATCGCCACCGTCCCATTGGGTGCCCGCGCCACACACGTGTTCGACTGCGCCATGTTGCGTCGCCTTCTGGCCTACTGGCTGTTTCTCGTGGCGCCGTTGGTGCCCCTGAAACCCTACATCCAACAGAATTTCGCTGGCAAGGGCATGCCGGCGCCTGCCGGTGGCGGCAGCGGCTCCGCTGCCGCCGACGACGACGATGGTGCTGACGCGCCGTCGGCGCCAGATTCGCCGGCGATGCTGTGGCGGCCTCTGCGCGGCAGCGATGCCGTATTGATGGCGACGGGGACGCTAGCGGGTTTTGCGTCGGGGCTCCTGGGCATTGGCGGCGGGTACGTGCATTCAAACACGCGGGGGGGGCCCGCCGAGAAACGATGGATTGGGCGCTTAGCCATCCCAGCGCCACAGTGCCATTACAACAGACTTTGCTCCGTAAACTTCTATATTTATCCACGCAAATTTTCCCTCGCAAACATACATAACATGCATAAACACCTGCGAAGCCATCCTAAATTTTGACGTATACAAAAGTGTTCACGGTTACACCACCTGCAATTTGACTTTCTGTGGAGGGCTACAGGTAAACCCACGAGTTATTAAACTTTTTAGGTACTGAAAGCCAGACCCAAACGGAATGCCAGCGCGCGAATCTAATCCTGCATGCGCTTCCCCTGCCTTGGCTTTCCTGCCCAACCCCGGTTGTTCAACCCCCTCCTCTTCCCCCCTCCCAGGACAATCGTGACGCCGCTCCTGACGGTGGCCACAGGCCTCCCGCAGCTTGCCGTACTTGGTACGTCACTAACCGCCATGGTCGTACCTTCTCTGGTTGGTCTGATGCAGCATGCCAGGTTGGGCAACGTGGACTGGGTCATGGCGGCAGCGCTGGCTGCGGGCACGATGGCAGGCGGGGCTGCCGGGGGAAGGCTGGCTTTGGAAATGCCGGAGGGGGTGCTGGAGTGGGTATTTTGCTTCGGGATGTTGTTTCTTGCACGTAAGACGCTGGCAGGTGCGGGACAGGCGGCTAAGGCCAAGGCCGCCGCCAAGACGGCAACAAAATCAGGGACGGCCACGGCGACGGCGGCGATTTCAAAGCTATGAGTCCTTAGCTACATAGCGCAGCGGATAATGCCGTGAGGGATTTGGGATAAGTAAGCACGTGGCGAGGACTGGGCTATTGTATCGTTTTGTACCGGTGCGGTGCGTTAGACTCGTTGTGAGAAGTTCCATTCCGAAAGATTCTGATATCCTGACGTTTCAGGGACCCCGCCGCCTCGTCAGTGAGTTGGAAGTTGGTGGGCGTGGCGGAGCGAGGGAACTGACGACTTTGGGTGTCATTTGTAGGTTGTTGATATTGAGCTGTTGGTGAGTAAGGAAGTACGAGGAACACGTTGTAAGGAATTACATAGGTACATAGGCTTTGTAAAGGGAATGTGTGTTTTTGTGTCGTGTCACTACTCCTTATGGTATGCCTGTTGAAGCCGGGTTGCCTCTGCAACTGGACGGTGTGCGTATTGCCAAAACCCAAAGCGCCGTCTCCTACGAGTTTCCTGTGCAGGACCAGGACGGCTGAAGTTGCGGGAAAATGAAAGTTTCCACATGCAAACGTGCAAACGTGTATGGCTTGGCTGCATGGCCTCGGGTTGCGCTGGTGCTTGTTACGATGCCGACGGCAGTCCGCGTCCGCAGTCTGTGTCGACGGCGGAACTACGGCCCGAGTGGGCCTCCCGGCCGGAGTGAACACTTGGCCTGCCACGCAAACCACGCTTGCTTCACCTCCTAAGCTGCTGGCGCGTGTGTGTTGGCTGACTACACGTAGGGGCGGTTCTCAATGGAATGGAAAGCTGTTTGTGGCCAAGTTACATTACGTTGTATGGCACTCATTCCTGTCAACCAATACATGCATACGGAGGCATGGTCGGCGGCCCAGCTCGCATATGCTGTGTGACGTCCACGCAAGTCGCCGTAACGGCTCTTTGACTGCTGCGTGCTGCCCCGTTTCATGGACCTTTTGGGACTGGGTTGAACAGGGTTGGAATGGGAGGAACCGGATTTGCGGCGATCCAGGCATCCAGGGTGGCGGTGTCGGAACAATCCCCCACACGACAAGCCTGGCGCAAGTGAGATACGTAACCCGTACACCCGTAATCGGCCGTCCTCAGAACACGTGTGCTGGGGCGTGTGTCATAATTGCATGCTGTAAGCATCCGCACGGAGAGCTTCCAGGGGGGGGATGGCGTCCTGCAGAATCAAATCCTTCCCATATGCGGGCCATCCGTTCAGAACGGTGGAAATTCTGCAAATAGTTAAGGCACGGCGACTTCACTTTAGCCGAAAGGAGGTGCCCACATCTTGCATCTTGTCGATGCGGCGACGCTGTGCGACAACAGGAATCCACGTGATTCGGCTGTTTACCAGCTGACAGGACCTTTAGTGTATCCCAAGAGTGCCAAATCAGGGATTCCTTACGCAACTTGCTGAGCTATTTATGACCTGCACAAAAGATTTTGTGCTTCAGTAATTGCTGCAAGTAGGCGGGTTGTGAGGCTGAAGTAGTCCTGCAAACCTTGATGTATTTTTTACTAAAGACGTTTGAGGAAGCTACCGTGTTGGGTAACGATACAGATTTTGTTATGATAAAGGATGGGATGACTGCACGCAAGCTTCCGAGCAGTTTAGTTGACTTGAGGGATGATTACACACGTGCATATGGCGCCCGGCTCTGAGCTGCAAGGGGGCCATGATGTGGACGATCCAGAGACAGTGGGCAGTGTAGGGAATGGCGTATTTTTGTGCATATCGAAATTACTGTAACACTCGATCAAAACAGCTAGCTATCACAAATGGATCTGCATTTTTCCTAAAGCTCTACACCGCATCGACTTGAACGGGCATGATACCAGTGCCGCTGGCAGCGGCGTGTAAGCAGCATGAACTTGAATCGTCTGCTGGCCAGGCGTCAGCGCGATACAGTGAGTCCGACATGGACAACTTTGTTAACGCACGTGCAGACGTGGCCATGTCGGCGGAAACGTGTGCATCAAGGTCGCCTCCTGATGGGCCGACAAATGCCTCTTTGGATGCCTTGATTGGCGACTGGATCAGTAGCGAGAGCGATGGATGCGATGAAGGCGAGGACAACGAACTGAAGTCGGGAAGCGATTCAGGTTGCGTTCTCGGCCATGACGTAGCTCGTGACAGCTCTCTCACAACACCCGCGCTCGACATCTGTTTTCTTCGGGAAGGAGGTGCAACTCATGAACCTGACGTGGGCGTTGCGTCCGCATCCCAAGCATCGCCCTTCGGAATCCAATATGGCGTCTGCTCGCAGGAAGCCGATTTCGGCTACCCAGCTGACGGTTGTGGGCTTATCCTAAAGGACTCAGGCTCTTTTAGCGCCCGAAGGCCTTCGAACACGTGTTCAACGGCACCGGGTGCAGGCAACGCAGCAACCAGCGACCCCCTGCCAACCTTTAGAGCAGCAGGACCAGCCCCTGCAGCAGCATGCAAATCCGCGGAATCCGTATCCGCACGAGCAGGTCCCAACTCCGCCTTAACCCGTGGCACTACCATCAGCACGCTACGCGACTGGGCCGCTTTTACCGCTCTGGGATGGCCTACCGCCACCGCAGCTCCCACTTCTCCTTGGGGCCCTTACACAGTGCAGCAGGTGCCGGCCCTCAACTCCATAGCGGCAGCCGCAGCCGCGACCCACTTGGCTCCCATGACCTCCGGAGCCCTCGGCCCAGTCCCAGCCCCGATCTCAGCACCGCTATTCAAGGCCAGCTCCCACGTCCACGCATCCTGCCCTGGAGCATTTCCCGGCGCCTCCAACCGCGGTTGCCAGTCAATGCCTCCGGGGGACGGCATGCAGATCTTCTTGACCGTCGACTCAGGACGGCCCTGGGGTGTTCAGTGTCTGCCACAGGAGGGACCTGCCACCGCGCACACCGCAGCCGCGGCCGGCGGCGACAGCCAGCGGCCCTTGGTAGCTAAGGGCCGGGTGCTTGGCAATTCAGCAGCCGTGGCGGCAGCAGTAGCGCAGCAGCGAGAGTTGGGCTTTGGCTTGAATGAGCCGACGCATCTGGGCTCCGGGATGCGAAGCAGCTCACGAGAGCAAGATGAGGAAGGGACGGGCTGCCTGGTGCAGCAAGCGATTCGCCACCAGCAGCAGCACCACCAGAGCGGAGGACGCCTTCGGGGTGCGCATGGCGATGCTTATGATGGCGACAACTTTGCACAGCAGATGGTGCACTTGCATCAGGTAAGGTCTTGAGAGGTGATGTCGGTCGGATTGTGATCCAGACGGCACCACGTGAGCCACCTGGTTAACGGGTGCACATTAGGAGGGTGCGCATTTGCGCGACCAGTCATCTGCCCTTGCCCCTGGAAGATGGAGACGACTGAGACGATTGCGACGACTGAATGATGGTGCCATGTTATGAGCACTGCTCCATGTGGGTCCATTCATCCTGGTTCAGGGGTAAGCTGCGTCCCGTGGATTTGGGTCATTGCTAATGAGGTACCACTGAGGAGTGCTTCATTGCATGTGGCGGGGGCGGGGCTGCAGCACCAGGTCTCCTGTTTCCAATTCCAATCCTTACATAGAGGTTTGATCGCTCTGGCGATAGAGAAGCATAAACGATAAGGGGGTTTCGGATATAGGTGTCTTCGGCGTCTTGACAGGTAAGAGCTAGGGAGCGCGTGAATGGCGCTGAGTGAAAGGCGTGTGGGATAGCTTTCTCTAGATTTGATTGGGAGCTGGAACTGTTCCAAACGAGTGACCCTCCGTCCAAATTCGCGCTGTGACCTTTCGTCAGCCAGGCTCAAGGCGTGCTCAGGCGGGCTTGGCGTCGTGACCTTTGTGATTCGCTGTGAATGACGGTGGCGATGTACGGATAGTACACGAGGCCCAGCCAGGAATGTCGTGGTGATTGCCCTGTTGCTGTTCCACCCCAACGCGACCACCCAAAATGCCCTTCGTGCAGAACGCCTGGCGCGAAGAAGTTGCTGCTGCTCCAGATGTTGGGCCATTGGTTATCGGCGAGCCGTGGCAGGCGTTCGAACCGGGGCACGGCACCAGTGCCTCCTCCGTGGCCGTGGCCGCGGGCGCAACAGCCGTGTTGCCGGGGTCTGCAGGTGGTGGGGGTAACGCCCAGGATCCCAGGGCGATCACAAGCGTCCCTTCACAGATGGCTTTCAGTGCGGCACACACATCCAGTCTTCCCGACCGTTCCGACCTCCGCGAGCAAAGAGAACAACCAATCTGGGATCCACTGGGAGCGCCACGTTGCCATCACTGCCAACAACAGGTACAGCAGCAGCAGCAGCAGCAGCGGTTGCGACAGCTACGTGAGCTGGAAGAGCAATGCCAAGCCGGACAGCACCAGCATATGCAGATGCAGCAGGCGCTCCTGGACTTGAACCTTCATCGCAAGCAGGGGAGCTTCGGGCCTCCCATCAGCCAGCAGCTACAGCAGCAGCTACAACACCAGTTACAACCACAGCAGCTACCAGGTCTACTCACGATACAAGAGCTGCTAGACCCACTTCCGGGGCTGCAGCAACAGGAGCAGCAGCAGCTGACCTGGCAGGGTCTGCTGGGGCCAGGACAGCAACAGGAAGGAGCTGGAAGCTTCCATGCGCATGCTCCCGCCGCCCAAGCTTCATCCCCTCCGCCCAGGCTTTTTGCGAGCGGCAGCTCCGGATGCGCAGCCATGGCGGCGGCGGCGGCGGCGGGAGCTGGTGCTGGAACAGCCGGTGCCGCCACGGGCGTTCATTCCCAGCCTTTGGCCTCCCTTTGTCAAGGTTATTGTCGCTCCCAGCCCTACGGACTGTGTCGTAGCGTCAGCGGTTTCCCAACCAGCGGTGGCTTCAGCGGCGACGGTGGCGGAGGTGACGGCGGCGGTGAGGAGGCCTTTGCGGATATCATTTCAGAGGACGTTATGGAGGTTTCGAATCCGGCGGTGACAACAGCCCGTCATCCGTATCAAGGTATTTGTTTGGCGCCGATGTCGACAGCAGTAGGGGCCAGGGACCGTACGGCATTGCGCTTTTCGGATCACGGCATTGTGCACGACATCCGTGGCCGCGGCCGCGGTGACGTCGCAGCAGGCGGCGGCTCAGGCGCGACAAAGCGCGGGCGGATTGAGCTGCTGTTCCGAAGTGTGGATGGAAGCCGCGATAGGGATAGGGATAGGGAGTCTTGAGGGCAGGGCGTAAGTGGACTGCGGTTGCTCCTGCGGCTGCGGCTGCGGTTGGGCCTGCTGCGCTCCTCCCAATTTGGTGCTGGCGTGCTAGCTATGTGTTGGGTTGCGATGGGGGGCAGTTAGGTAGTTCGGGTGGGGGCAATGTTGGCCAGGCAAAAGGGTGCGCGGCGGCGCAGGGGAGGGCTTTCGCAGGAAGGGCATTGCTACGGAACGGCCCTTCACTGGGAAAGCTCCCGACTTGCTGGTCGGCTAGAGTAGTGTTGAAGACTGATATCCAGGCCCATGATGGCCGGACCGTTGGACCGGTCCCAGAGGAAACGGTTAAGTAAAGTATGGTGATGTAAGATGTGTGCGATGCCGAAAGGGTTAGGGTAGATGCGTTTTCCTAGGGAAGAGCTAGAGCCAGTAGTTGGTAATGGCAGTGGTGAGTGCCGATACGTTGGGAGCTGGCGGCTGGCGGAAAGACGCATGCATGCGGCGCAGGTTGCCGTTACCTTTAGGCAGTTTTGACGGGTTTGAGGAAAAGGAGGCAAAGAGCAAAGCAGATATAGTGTCATACAGATCCGTGCAAATGTCATGGTGAGGGTGGTGGTGGTGAGGATGGTGAGGTTGAGGTTGAGGGTGGTGGTGAGGGTGGTGGTGGTGAGTATGGTGAGGTTGAGGTTGAGGGTGGTGGTGAGGGTGGTGGTGGTGAGGATGGTGAGGTTGAGGTTGAGGTGGGTGGTGAGGGTGGTGGTGATGAGGATGGTGAGGTTGAGGTTGAGGGTGGTGGTGAGGGTGGTGGTGATGAGGATGGCCAAGGGCAGTGCACGCGGCACACTCGCTTGGTAGCAGGAGTACGGTTCGAGAATGCGGTTGTGGGTTCTAAAGTACAATTAGCTGTGTGGCGCTTCATCATCTTGTGCGGCGGTGTGACTGCAAGGTCAAGTAGGGAGTGCTGCTGACATGACCAGGTTGGAAATTACGAGGGGTAGCGGACTGGGGGAGGCGGCGAGGTTCAGGCTGCGCACCACAGAGTGTTGATTTGGGGAGAATGTCAAATCCTATTCCACCAACGTTCATGGCGCCAGCACGTCCAAAGTGTTAGTTGGCTGGTAAGCACAGCCTGGCCGCGCGAACTGCATATATATACGTATTCCGCGCGGGGGATAAGGATCTTTGCGCATCCCACCGGAGCATTCAGTGGCGGGGAGGTCTTTGGCAGCTTTTCTTTGCTTTGGCAGGCGTGCAGCGGCGCGAGGATAATAGGGTACAGCGGAGCTTCCAGGAGGGGTGAAGATGAGGCGGCAGGTACAGGCTGGGGCAGGTCCCGCCCTGCTGCTTGTTTCGAATGGTTGGCTCGTTTAGGGTTGGTAGGGTGCAGCGAAAGAGCTTTCTTCGGGAGGCGTTGGAGGTTGGCGAACGAAGTGAACTGCCTGAAGTGATGTACGGCGGGCTTTGAACCAGAACAACGTGATCGTATGAACATTGAGCAGAACTCAGGCGCTAGGTGCCTTGTTTGCCGGCGCTGGTGAATAACCGGTGAATATACCCAGAGAAGAAAAGCGCAACAGCATCTCTCATTTCTGCGGTTGTCTGGTAGTGGGTTGAGGGAAGATGGTGGAGAAGAGGCGGTGGGGAATGCTGAGGTGTGCTGTGCTGTGCTTTTCCTACCATTGCTTTCTTAAACGCCGTACGTTGTGTGAGGAGGAGGAGAACGGTGCTCTGTTGTCGCTTGCAGCAGCCTTTTGGAGGTGTGGGCAGCCGCCGCGGCGATGGGGCAGAGTCTGAGACCACCGAACTAGGACTGCCGCGGGCCGCTGCGAGGATTTATTCAACCTCAAATTGACGTTGAGAATGAATAAATGATAGCATTGAACAACCGATACGGTGACGCCATTTGCTATTAATGATATTTATAGCATTATATTATTATAGCACTGATAGTAAGTGCGAGTAGTCGGCCAAGCATGGGCGGGCAATCTCGCACTCGTGGAGCGCGTTTCTTTTGTTTTTTCTTTGTTACCCGCCGATTACCGCTTCAGCTCTTCGCTTAGGTTCGGTGCTCCCTTCCTTCTAAGGTTGCTTCGGTTCTTTTGCGTGCGCGTCAAAGAGGAAAGAGGAGAGGAGGAGGAGGGCGCATGGAGCGTGTCGAGCCGTGAACGCGCTCTAAAACGCATGATGATGATTCGCTGTTGCTGAGTTCAATCCTAGCTTTGAGTCCCGCGCTCTTTTCCGGAGCTCCTTCCTGGTATGGCGAGTATGGCGAGGTGAACGAGTAAAACGTGGAAGGTGACTGGACTGCAAGGCAGCGTGGGAGGAGGGCGCCCTGCACCAGTCCTCCCTCCCTCGCTCCCTGGTGGCGGAGGTGTCCCTCCGCGCGGGGCCTGAGCACGGTCTCCGTGGACGGCACAAACACACACGTGCGTATTTGGTGGTAAACAGGGTAGCGCTACTGAAGTACATATAACACGTAAATATGTGCGTAGTGGGTGATGTTTAGGGCCGGAGTGTGTGCTGTTGCGTTCCCCCCTAGCGCAGCTGCGGGCAAAGCTTCTGTGGTAGTGGTAGTTTGGCCTGGCCGTGGCGGCTGCGGCGGCGGCGTTTTGGACAGAGACAAAACGTGTCTCCGCCCGCTGGCCTGCTTGCATGGTGCTGCACCCAGCTGAGGGATGATATCCCGGTGCCATTCGTCAGCCTACCTGTCTGCCTATCTGTCTGTCTATCTGTCTGTCTATCTATCTATCTATCTACCTATCTACCTATCTACCTACCCCTCTCTGCTTATGTCCATTCGTGTGTCCGCCTATCTACCCCTTAATCTCCCTGTCTGTCTTCATGTCTATATGTCTGTCTGGGTATGAGAGACAAAATAGTGGCGATCTGTCGATCCGCTGACGGGCCCCGCTTGCCCGCTGAATGTGGGTCGACTACGGGTGAGCATGTGTGGGTGTTTAGGGTGGTATAGCGCAGGGGAGAAGGATGTCCAACCGCGAATCGAATCGGCCGTTAGTCGGCCGTGGGGCCAAGTTGGGGCCTTCGACCACCTCAACTTCCCATTCGCGGCCGTAATGTGTGTGTTTTACTATAGGAATATTGTTGCGACGATTTACGCCATTTTTACCTCACTGTTGTGGTGTGTAACTCGTGGCGTCTGGAAACTTGGCGAATGCATCACTCAAAGATTGGACATCACTTCGTCCAGTTTTAGATTGTATGGGTAGCACAAAGAGGAGCTGGAACGGTGACACCTGGAGCATTCTATATGTCCAGCTCATTCATTGGCGCTCCTTTCACGCAGGCGCGCCTACACATCACAAACGCTCGCACAGGCGCGGCGTCGCTCACTTGCCCCAGAACTTAACTTGCTGGTGTGGTTGGTGCCTCCTAAATAATTGTCTACACAACAAATAAACGCGAACTCATGGTTTATAACCGATTTTATGGGGAACCCAACCATACGCAAAGACCGGTCGCGCGCGTCGGCCTGACAGCTCCAAACGCTGCCTATGGTCATACTGTAGCACTAGGACGTGATTGGGGTCGTCGGCCAGCACGTTTTCGGTCCGAAATCTGCGGGTCCGGTTCCGGTCCGGTGGCCGGTCGGAAAGGCTGTCGTACCCGGTCCGGCCGGCGGGGCTAACCTGGGCTAACCTAGATTGGGGTTCACATAGCAAGGCGTGCACTGGGCACGCCCTAGGTATAACAAAAGGGAGGTGTCAAGTTACAATAACAGGAGAAGATAATAATAATTTTCCTTATGCTCATCCATCGTGAGGAGCCCTTGTCGGCCAAAGGGTCGATTCCCGACTTTTTTGCGTCCGAAGGCGTGCCGCCTGCCATTTTCAGTGGCCTACACCCGGATTGTCCTCAACTCTTATTCTTCGTATTTCTTTTTACTTTAAAATCACAAACCAATGGCACTGTACGCTACTTTTGCAGGGATGGAAGAGCACCAGCAAATCCGCAAGCCATGCGCAAACCAAGCGGCGGTGGGTTCCTCTCACCCTTTCCTTGAAAACCTTTCAGCTACACGCTCAGCTCACCCTCCAAACAGAACGAAAACGGTTCCATCTCATTCAAAAAACGCCATGCATACCCACAGAGAATGCACGGCACCTAGCCACATGCACAGCAGGCAATGAACTACACGCAAATGCATATCAACAGTCATTATTGGGAATTTTCATGTAATATTCCATAAGCCATAAACTTTTGTCAGCGCAGCAGAAGGAAGCGCCGTGCCCTCCTGCAATGCGCAACACCATGCAGGTCGAATGCCGGTCAACCAGAAATGCGCAATTGCTTCGCACCTTGGCGCGACCCAGACCAGATTGCATCTTTTTCTTCGCCCCTTAATTCGCCGTTTAATACGTGCAAATCGGCACAGCAAGGAAAACTTATAACACAAAACCAATCTTCCCGTCCGTCTGTCTCCTTCCTCCTATGCTACACGAATCAAGGACGGATTGTCAATCGATTGACAATTGCAAGACGTACATCGCACAACGCGCAAAGGGGCCTGGTAAGGGCCTCATCTCATCAACCTGCATACTTTATCATCCTCCCAGTTCATTTCTGGTTTCCTTTAATATGATTTCGCCAGGGCTTCATCTTACCCCCACCCCCAACCCAACCTCACCTCCACCACCAACCCGCCGCCTTGAGACCTCTAGGAAACTCCTTTTTTCGCCCCACAACCGCCAAGAGCCCTACTACTACTACCCAAAACTTCCTTTAATTGTAGCTCGGGGGGGCTAGAACGAAAGTAAGTAATTCTAGAAGAGGGTCCGCATGCATCATCATGCACGAATCACCTCACATCGTCATCATCATACATCGTCATCGTCGCGACCATTCATTCCGCAACTCGCAAATGTACGCGGGCAGCAGGTCCCCACACCAAGTGGACTGCCAGTCGCAGAAGCCGATACGGCAATAAATGGCGTAGCACGCATAGTAGTGGGTGAGTACGATACCCTGCGGGTTGTAACCTCGATCTGCACGTGTGCCGTCCACCCAGAAGGAATTCTCCAGACTGGTGATAAACTGGAGGCCGATCCAGGCGCGTACGTTGCCGAAGTTGTCCAGGTCTGATGGTGGGAACTGAACGTGGTGTGTGTGTATGTATGTGTGTGTGTGAGTGGCGGGGGAAAATGAGGGGAGGAGGGAGCGCGAGTTGCGAGAGGGGAGCAAGAGGAAAGAGGTAGTCGGTGATCCTCAAAAGGAAGCTACCAACCTGCCATGACATTATGCAGATGGCAACGACGGTTGTAAAACGGAAATGACAGCAGCAGACCCAAACGAAATAACCGACAACAACAGCATCTCAGAATGCATGCCCGGATCTTCCCTTGTAGTGCATTTCGACATCTCGCTTGAAGGCCTTGATGGAGGGGACAGACAGAGACAGAGCCACCGCATTCAAGCTTGCATCCCCCCCTAGCAATCCTCCAGCAGCTCTTCATCCCCACCTGGTTCCTCAGCACCAAGTTGGAGGTGCTGTTGATGAGGAGCCAGTACTCATCCGCGGTGTTGATGCTCACGAGGCGCCCGTTCATTGTCTTGCAATTGTCATCGGCTTGCCGCCACGACACAGGCGATGGGGGCCGCACCAGCGCGTATACGGTACCCAGCGGCTGACCAGCTCGAGTGAGGTAATACACGCCCTTGTAACGGTTGTTGTCTGTACCAGCATCGGGCATACGTACCGGCAACATGCGGAAAGGCGCGGGACACCACAGTAACACCACCACCACCGCAGCAGCAGCAGCACAGCAGCGTACCGCATCACGTCACATCACATCACGTCACAACTTCGCAGCGTCATCGACATGGGCAGGTCCGCAGCCAGAAGGGGGCACCGATACCAGCGGGATCAACCGTGTGTGTGTCTGTGTGTGTATCTGTGTGTGTGTAACTGTGTGTGTAATTGTGTGTGTAACTGTGTGTGTAATTGTGTGTGTAACTGTGTGTGTAATTGTGTGTGTAACTGTGTGTGTAATTGTGTGTGTAACTGTGTGTGTGTGTATGTGTGTGTGTGTGTGTATGTGTCTGTGTGTGTATGAAGAAACGTAGCAGTATATGGTCGTGATAAGGCAGATGTCGTGAACAGAGTCAGATGGAGGTGAGGTGAGGTGGGGTGGGGTGAGTGGCTCGCAGCAGTGGCCATCACTCACCTATTTTGCAGATGAACCCGTCTCTCGTCACGTTCACACAACCCAGCGTTGGCGGAACAGCCAAACTCCAAATGCAATCCGACCCCGGGGCGCAGCGGAGGCTGTAGCAGCCACCGTCGGCGAACACATCGATGCCGCCGTTGAACAGAGGCGGCAGGTAAGTCAAATCGTTGCCATCTGTCCAGTAACGCTTGCTCGTCTGGTTAATCCGCAGGCCCATCCACAAGGTAACGGTGCCGCCGCCGCCGTTGCCGATGATGCCGTACACGTTTATATTCTTCAAGGACTGACCGACAGCTGCGTTTTCCTCTGCCGATAGCACCGATAGGAGGCTGCCGCCGTTGGTGTTGCAGAACATTTCTGCCTGTCCAAAGGTCCGCGAACCGTTGTACACGCTGTACGACGAGTTGCCGAATGTGAAGTTGAATACGGATGACACGCCTGTTGCGTGTCAGGGAATGGCGGGAAATACACCGGGGGTTACGGCGCTGCTGCCCCCTCGGTATTCGGACCTCAAAACCAACTCCAGTCACGCTGCCAGGGCTGGCTATTATTATACATAATTTTTTCGAGCTACACAGGATCGTATCTAGTAGTTTTTTTGTGCGTTTGTATGGCATCTATCGATCTCGGACAGCCATCGGACCCCTTCGGGCCCTTGGGCCCCCGGCTGGTTCCACCTCCGGACGGTAACGCACCTCCAGGAGGTGTAACAAGAGACATACACAACGACATACACACGGACACACACACACATACACACAAGGAATGGCAAGGAATAGAGGCCACAGGAGGCCAAAACAAGCGCAGCTAAGTATTCCGACATCGGCAATGCGAGGGACTTACTGGCAAGGGGTGCGGCGGTGCGGAAGAGT